ATATAAATAACGTGATCTTCTTTGTGCTTGTTGCAGTGCAGGGGACAGAGCTTCCTAGATGCTTTTAGGATTCAGAGGTGCCCATGGCATCCCTGCCTCTCCCATAACAGGTTAGACCCAGTAGCCTGGTTATCAGTTACTATTTTTAATGCCCAAGTGTGGGAGGCAGCATGGAACAGTTGTTTTGGGAAGAGGGTCCCTTGCTTGGTCTGTTTACAAACCAGGATATAAAGTGATAATGGAAAGTATTATTTTACTTTTGGGAAGGTCTTCTCTTGAGTTACCTCGGGGAGAACAGTGTATTACAGTGAAGCAGTAGCAGTCTGGTGGTGCTAGAGTACCAGCTATATGTTTTGTAGTGATACAGGTATGGGGTGTTGTAAGGAAACGCTTGAAAGAACATTAGAAAACAGCTCTACAGAGAATTGGAAGGAGCTTCTTTCAAGAGTGATATGCAGAAGACAAGAAAGTGCTTGTCTGAAATGGCGTAAATTGATATTGAATGCTGTCCTCATGGAAAGATGGAAGTAAAGAACACTCAGTAAGAAGTGATGGGTAGAGGAGAAAAACCAAGAAACCCCCTGAAAGCAGTAAAAAGTATTTCATGATTGATGTGAGAGGAAAGGGGTGCCCTGTGAACTGCAGCAGAGAGAGCAGAGAACCTGGCCAAAGTGCCCGCCACAGGAGTGGCCTTTGCCTTCCATAGAGAGGTGGGTAAGACTGAAATCCACCTAAAAGAGAGCCCTGTGCTTCCAAAGGTCAGTACACGTGCACAGTCTGGTAGCACCTGTACCTTCATCAAAAATTTCACAAAACCCAGCTTCTATGCACATAGTATAAGAAGCGTAAATGCATAAAATATGATGTTAACAGAATCTGTCTGGCTTCATGTGTTGATGTGGACAAACCCCCCATGAAGCAAACTGTGCAGGCACAAATACTTCCTGACAGCTTATGCACTTCAGACGTTGGAGTGTGAGCTGCCTTCTCTCTGGGTAGGGTTCCTGATAGCTGGAGGCAGCCTGGCTCCCTCCTCATAGAGTCCTTTGAGCAATTCATAGCCTGAGTGTCACTGCACGTGTTGCATCTCAGTGTTCTTGGAGGCACGGAACTTGCCACACATCCAAATGGGAGTTAAACGCAGCACCTATAGCTCTGGTCCTTCTTTCCTAAGCAGGGACTTTTAGTACCCGCAGATGAGTTTATCCTGTTCTGCCCTAAATTTTGAGATCTTGCGCACCCTGATCATAGGTCACTTCCTGGGAGGAGCAAAAAAGTTCCAGTCTGATCTTCCTGCCCCTGAGGAACCTCATTAGTCTGAAGTTCAATTAGGAACTGGGTCTTATTTCCCAGCTCAGTCTCCCGAGTGGCTGGGGGGGGCCGGACAAATACGCGCGAA